CAGAGGAGTAATCAGAACATTACTCTACACCAGAGTATTAGCAGGAAAAGGTTGATAAAGATAACAGGAAGAAAGAAGAGAGTTTGAAAGTATTAACTGATGGAAATAAGTTAAACAGAAAGTATGTCACAAAGAACTAGGGTGACAATATTTCCCTATGCTGAATACGGGACACCTGATAAAATTACTCATATTCAAGTTCAATGGCAATCAGAACTATGCAGTACAAACGTTCAAATTAACATCAAATTGACTGAGTCCCTATTAAAAAGAAATACTGCGTAGTTGGATTCTATTTATTTACCTTCTTATCTTTAAGGCTTTAGGGTTCATATGAGGAGATGTGACACACACATTCTCGTACACACTCTCTTACACCTCTCTCACACAGGAGGGGTGACTAACCAACCCAACTCTTCCTGCCAGGCACTCTCTACCCTACATGCCTGGCTGGGCCCCCGGATGGACCCACCTCTCTTGGTACCCCATTTTACTGAGGCAACATGTGGTGGGGCATGCAGTGTCACATGTCCCCCCTCCCCAGGTTCCACCAGCTTTGCACACCCATCCCCATCGTCGGCCACTGGACCCCCCACTCACTACTGGTGGGCGGGAAGTTGGTGAGCAGGGAACTGGCCAGCAGCAGGTCCCGCCAGTACTGATATGGGGGAGACAGAAAATATGGGACAATTTGCCCATTTTTTAAAAAAAGTCGGGACACCTGCAGGAAGGCTTAAATATGGGATTGTCCCTTTAAAAACAGGACATCTGATCACCCCAAAAAAACTATACACAGAACTACCATTTAAGGAAAAGAAATGCATGGATAGATTAAAGAAATAACACACCACACAACATGTAACAACACTGGGGACTAAGATATATGAGCCAAATTCTGCCCTCAGTTACACCCATGCAACCCAGAAGCTAGATTCTGACCCTATATGCCTGCAAAAGAAAAGACAGAGCTTGACACTATTGAAACCAGAAACTGCTGTGGACCCATGACACAGGAAGAAAGTTAAGGAATTAGAAGATGGTCACAAACAAAGAGAGGGTGACAGATAACACCCTTCAAATATTTGTAGATAGTTAACTCCAAGGAGGGAAATTATATACTGTGGTACATGGGGGTCTAGGCAGAAGATACAGGACAAAATTAAGAAAGGGAAAATTTAGGCTGAATATCAAGAAAAACATCTTTTAGTCTAAAGGAAATAGACAAATACTTTTGTCTAATATTAAAAACATGGCAATTTAGTTCTGCCTTTTAGTTGCCAATCATTTCCCTTTTTGTTTCTAAGGCACCAGGGCTAATTATAGCTCCCATGTGGTTAGAGTAATAGACGGTAGAGATGGGATAGTGAGAAATTAAGAGAGACTGAGTGGATAGGTTACAAAAGAAATAGTGAGATAGAGCACATGAGTCAAGTCAGGAAGGAGAGTGACACAGAGAATGAGAAAGAGAAAGGACAGGTGATGGGGTGAAAGGGTAAAAGAATAGGAAGGAGAGGCAGAGAGACTGGATTTCCGAGTGAGTGCATGGAATAAGAGTTTGGCAAAATGTGTGTGGGGGAGGGAGATCAGAATGCAAGGGGAAAAGAGGGCAAGAAATATGAGGGAATGGAAAGAAATAAGGAACCAATGACTGAAAAAGCCAGAGGGAAAGCTATACTAAAATACATAATAGGAAGAAAGTGAAGTTGACAGTTTAATGCAAAATACCTATAAATACTTGTATAGACTAGCTTTGCAAACTCAACAACTTAGTCCAACAGAGTAATGTGTTTTGAAGGATAAGTAAAATATCACAATATTTTCATGCCAAGCTTTCATGACAGTTTTGCAAGGCTGGTAGAACGAATGAATGAATGAATGCATGTGTACGCACACACACAGTACAACCTTGCTAATTCACACTAGCGAGTAGAAGATATACTGCAAATTACTGAATTTTGTAAATTAATAAATACTTAAACAAGAATAATATATCACCAGCAAAGAGTCTGAATTGCTGGATCAGGTGTAAGTGGTGTGTTTATACAGGTGTACTTTTGCAGCTTTTAATTACTCTGAAAATGTGTAAACCTCAAAAACTACAGAAATCACTGGAAACTACTGCAATAAGTGATATTTTATCGTACCTTGCTGTAACACAAATTAGCGAACAGAAGCACATATTTGACCTCTTGGGGACAGTTCATGCTGATCTATCAAGAAACATTCACACTACCAAGGTAGAAATATTTCTAGTAGGTGATGCATGCATTTATAATCTTAGACTAATTTACTGGTTACTTTAATTTCTCCTGATAATTTCTCCTTGCTCCGATTCAGGACTAGAATTAATTATTCTAAAAGGATTTTCTAAAAGGGAAAATTATTACTTGATTCAAATACCTTTCCCTTTGATACTGCAGTTATTCCTTTCTTCCCCAACTGAATAGACAAGTATACATTTCTTCTACCAGATACAAGTGATGTGCATCTGATTAATTGATCCATACTGAAATAAATACCCTCCAATTTCTACTAACTTAACTGAAAATAAATACAAAGATCTTAAGAGAAATAGGCCTGTTTGGTTCTCAAGAACTTTCGCAAGCACAAATTATTATGAGGATAAAAGTGTAAAGCAGGTCTCTTCTGAATTACAAGTATCTGAAAATGTGCAACTGCAGATGCAAATGTGTTGTAATTATTTTCAAGAATAAATACACCATAGATAGCTATCTCAGATTAACTTTAAACACAAACTGTTATAACACTCAAATGAAAAAAACAAGATGCTTTAAAGAAGCATCACATTTACCATGTAGTGCTCTTAAGATTTTAAGAAAGGTTAGGACAAAAGTTGTCTTAGCACTCTACGAAATACATAGATGGCTAGGTGGGAACAGAAAGAATTATTCAGCAGTGATGAATAACTTGTTTGATCATATAATAGTTTATAAAAATTCAAACTTTGGACTGGCCACCTCTAAACTTTGGTGCCTTGCATAATCCTCAATAGAAAAGTTACATGGGTCTCCAGTGTTTGAGCTGCTGGTGTTATTTATCTCTTCCTAAACACCATCTCATGTTTGTCAGTGCATTTGTTTCTCCTTTCTTCTTTAGTTGTCTTTTTAAATTGAAACTTTTCCCATTCTCTATCTTTTTTAATCCCTTCCCAATCACTCTCCTCCGCCCTTTTTCTCTACAAAGTCTGCAGCTGTAGCTATATACAATGATTTATGGAAGGAAGTGCTTCAGAGGAAAACTAACCAGGATTCTAGCCAGCTTCCCTCTGCAAACCACAAATGTGCTTGATACAGAGGAAAACTGATTCTCCGATAAAAAAAAATCAGCTTCCCTCTCCATCAAGCATTTCACATGAGTCAGCAGCAAGAGGTAATCTAGGATCACAAGGTCCTTCTGAATGGATGGCAAAATGATTTTGAAAGTATTGCAGGGGCATTTCTGCAGACTGGACTTGCTATTCATAAGCTCTTTTGGGGTGGGACTGAAGACATATAAAAAACAACTGCCATTTTAAGACCACTTTAAAAAATATCTACCTTAAACCAGCTCCCAAATTGCTGTGGTACCAGTAACACTCAGCATGCCTCAGTTTGGGACCTGGCTAAATATTTCAGACAAAAGTACATTGGCTCAGCCTGCTAAGGAAAAAGGCATGTTCCTCCATTCAGGAAAGTCAAATGGGAAGAAAAGAACAAAACTGAAAAGTTTGTGGGTACTTTGTGGAAATAATTAGAAGATATATTTTATCTTCAAATATATTTGCACATGGGGCAGATGCAAGGGTTATATTTGCAAAGTAGTTCGTAAGGATTTAGAAGTTTGTCCTCGACTGAGATTAATAAGAGTCATATGGTTAAATTCTTGAAAAATGTATACATAAATGTTATCTTTTATTGGTTTCATTAAAACTACCCCATATAAAAGATGTTCCCAGATCAGCACACCAACATATTTCAATTCATATTATAGGGCTACAGAAATGTGCGTGTTGTCTGCTGTGAAAATACTGACAATATAGACAGTGGCTTTGTAAATTAAATAAATTCAGATTTTAAATTATTTTAATGTTTCTTCCAGCCTTGAATTAGTATCTCCTGTCAGTTTAATCATACCAGATTAGGTTGGTAGATTCAGTGGCCTCACTAAGCCACAGTCAGACAGAACAAAGTGCCAGAGTAAAAGAATCTGCTTCTGAAGCCATCAGTTTCACTTTAAAATTTGAATTGCTCAATTGTGTCTTGGCCCTAATACAGTATTAGTACGGCCCTACCAAATTCATGGTCCATTTTGATCAATTTCACAGCCAAAAGGTTTAAAATTGTTTACATGTTCCTAGCTGTTAGGCCAGGCCGGGCTGGGAAGAGACAGGACTTCCTCTTCCCCTGTATGGCCCCTGCGGGGAGATCAGACCCAACTCCGGGTACCTCTCCTGGGGGCAGGAAGCTGTGCAGCCTTCAATGCTGGCTGATTTCCCACTGACCCCGCCCCGAGCAGCCATGCAGGGGAAGAGGATGTCCTGTCCCTCTTCAGCCCAGCCTGGACTAGCAGCTAGGAGCCCCTGGCTGGGGCACTCCCAGCAGCACGGAGGAGATCAGACCCACCTCTGGAACCTCCTACGGCTGCAGGAAGCTCCGTGATTGCTGCCTTCAGAGCCCAGCAGCTGGGAGAGGAACCCGGAAGTGGGTCTCATCTCCCCCTACATGGTCGTTCTCAGGGGAAGAGGAAGTCCTGTCCCATCCCAGCCCAGTGGACTAGCAGCTGGACTCAGTGAATGGGAGGAGCCCACAGCTGGGGTACCCCCAGCCTTGCTCCTTCCCTCCAATAGCCAGATTTCACAGGGGAGGTCTAATTTCATGGTCCATGAAGGATTTTCAGGGCCGTCAATTTAGCAGGGCCCTAAATATTGGATATCATAAATGTTAGAAAACAGTTCTTTATAATATCAGAGGAGTGAAAGAGATAAATATATTATAATTTACCTGCCAAGTTACTGCACCCAAAACTGCAGTTGCAAGGAGACTGAAAAATACTAGTTGCTCTGAAATTAAACAGAAATGACGCATTCCTTTAGAAGCCATGACTCGGTCAAGGCTATTATTTTCTGCCCTGTGGGTATAATAGACTTTGTGACAGTCATTTAATTTTGTATGAAACCCCCAAAGAGTTATAAAAAAAATAATGTGGCAGATCATCCAGAAAATTCCAAAAATAGAAAAACCAGGTATAACGAAGTACCAGAGACCCAAGTCACCTAATTTAAATGCTGCTAGAATGAAAAAGATAAATTCAATTACTCCAACAGAGATGACTGAAAGCCTTCTGCAAATTCTACCACGGTACAAGTAGGGCTTCCATCGTTCAGTAACTGAAAGTCCGCTGAAGTAGACATCAAGAAGAGGGTCTGAAATCAGGCAACTAAAGAAACAGGCCAAGGCAAATGGGTTTGTGGGAATGTTCAGGGAAGGAAAAAACAATAAAGATGCCAGAGCTCCAAAAATTGCCAAATTTGGAATTGCCAAGAAAGACTTCATCCGCAAGTCAATAATCAGCATGGCCAAAGCCACAACCAACAAGATGATACTCATGGATTTTTCAACCAGCATAGTTGTGCTGGCAATTGCAAATCCAACCAGCTCCAGAAATTCAACTGTTGTCAGCAGAGTTGGTCGGTGATGGACACAGCCGCAAATCCTCTCCACCAAAGCACACAATATCCTTATAACTATGGAGGTAAGGAGTAAGTATTTGGTTGTTTCTTCTTTCACGTCACTTTTAAAAGAGGAATTATCAAGAAAACAGAGGAGGCCAAGCAAGAATCCAAACCAAAGATTGGAGAGACTCAAACTTGCTGCTTCCATTGAAAAATAATAATAAAGTATGCTGGCAATTCCAAGAACAAAAAGTCCCAGAATAAATATTACCAGTATTAGTGCATCTGCAGACTTCTCCCACCTGACATAAAGGCCCAGACATATAGCAACCAATATGTTGATCCTGGCTAAATAGCCAAGGTATCGGACCGATGAATGCATGTTCACTTCTCTATTTGCTTCTTCCAGTCTTGTCATTGCTGCATAGAGACAGTGACTAACACAGTAACGCAGTGATCTACACATGTAAATAAGCAATTAGGGGGTTTTACCCACTCTACAGAAAGTAACTGTTTGGCTTTCATCCAAGAAATGCAGTGCAGCGATCACCTCCTGCAATGTCATGTCATCAGTAACATTCCTGGATTATAGAAGTCCTGAAAGAAGAATGAATAGAAATGTCAGTGCTAAATTACAAACTTTAAACTTATTTACTAACATATTAGATCAAAGAGTTTACAATCTAAATTAAAAATATACAATAAATATCAACTATATACAATGTGTAGGTTTTTTTAAGTATATGTTCTATAATTGGTGGATCATTGAAAGTTATTCAAAACCAATATGAAGTGAAATTCTCATAAGTCTCATCTCATAAAAACTACTCTATAATTTGAATAAAATAACGAGGAATGTTACGTTAGCTAATCAAACCCTAATTGACAATACAATCTTTCCATGAATCACCTACACATTTCAGAATATTCCTGTGACATTTCTGTTAAATTCTAACATGTTAATGGACAGCTTCTTAATCTTCTTATTCCAGTAAAATATTAAAAATACAATTTTATGAAACCTGCTAAATCCCTAACCCAGATCTGTTGTTTCCAGTATGATCACTCCACATTATTTCAGGTAACAAAACTAAATTCCTAATTTTTTGTTACATCTTTTTAGTATCCTTTGCAATATTTATGTATATAGGTACTTAATAGGTTTACTTGATTACTGAAGTATCTGGACGCTTCACAAACATTAGTAAGTTTATCCCCACAACACTCTGTGAGACAGGGAAGTATCATTATCCCTATTACACAGATGGAGAATTGAGGCAAAGTGAAATTAATTGACTTGCTCAATGTCGCAGCCAGGAACAAACTCTAGATCTCCGGAGCATGAGCCCGAGCCCGAGCCCGAGCCCAAGCCCAAGCCCAGGGCCTTAATCACAAAACCATCCTTTTAACCCCTAAATTCCCTGAGAAAAGACCAACAACCACCAAATGTCTTTCAAACTGATTGAGTTCACAAAAATCAAAGTTCTACTTATCTGCCACCTTGAAATGAAAAATTTCACCAGAATAAAGATTGTTATATTTAGAATCTGCTATTTCACCACTTTATAAACCAATGCATTATTGACCCAATGTCCAATATAATTTTGTCAAATCTTGTTGGGGAACAGGAATTCGATATTTTAATGAGACATTTTGTGACAGAAACTTGTAAATATTTTTGGAATATACAGATTCTCAAAACTGAACAATGCTCCAGGTAGTCTGGACATCCTGTATCTGGCAGAGACCAGTACTATTCTATAGTGAAAATTTCTTCCTGACCTCAAGTGACAATCTACTTGTGCCTTGAAACAAGAGTATTGGTGTAACATTTTTAATTTTGAATCCTAGCTAGCTTAGGTAATAATATTATCTACAGTACATATCAATTATATTTTAATACAACTATTAAAATACAGCTATTTATTTCAATATCTATTAATTTAATCATATTTTGAGTAAAAATGTATTTCTTTGTATTTTAAAACTGTCTTATTTTTGATGCATTTATTTGTATTAAAAGGATATTATGGAGGTTCCATAGTTAAAGCTGAATTCCATTGTGCATTGTTGAGGCTGAATCGATGCTATATATGAAAATAGGTATTCTTTCCAAATTTACTGCACTTGCTCTGTGAGAATGAATTTTCTGAGAACTTACAAGCAAATTGATTAGTTTGAGGTATAATTAATTATTTTATTGTACTGTCAAGAACCATAGTGCCACTATAAAATAAGTATCAGACAAGAGACAACAGGTGGATACAGACAGACTGGGGAGCAAAAAAAAACCACAATATTGATCCGTGTGATAGACAGTGGTCTCAGTGTAAGATGCTCAACAGCTGTCGTGGTGTTTTGTTTTGTTTTTTTAAATAGGCATCATGGCAAAGGAGATTAATATTAAAAACTAGGTCCTTTGAGAAAGCCAACATCTGTCAGTCCTTTGTTGCAAATGATCTTAATAGAACAGACTCTTCCAATTTCCCATACAGTTAAAACTCGCAGAAAACTTGCATATAGGCTGCATATGAATAAATTATGTCTAATTAAGTACAGCCAGTAAGTGCTGCACTCAAGAAATGCCGGAACACAAGTATTGGAATTGCTACCCAAAACAAGAAGTGTCCCAGAATGTTCTGGCAGGACTCAAGCACTGAATTGTTATGACTATGTAAGTAATAAGCAGGAAAAGCCCAACAGATAAGTTAACTCTCATGTGGGACTTCAGAGACATCAGCGGTAATTAAACCAATCCGCACCCTTCCTCTATAGCTAATTAGCAACAATTCAAGAGTACTTAGTGGTAGGGGGAAGACTGGACATGTACCAAGAGTGCTTACTGGTATATGACTGGTCGAATTGCCACTACTCTTTAAAGGTTCCGTGGCTGCATGCTAGTTTGGGCATCAGGACTTGAATGGCTCTCCTGATCAACTAGGCAGCATTACCAGAAGAAATGTGGCAGTAGCATAAGAGGGAGCCCTTCAAAACCAAATTAGGCCTTTTCTAGGCAATGCTTTTAAGGTGTCTTGCTAGAAAGTTTGACCTACGCTTCTTACTAGGTTTAACACAACCAGTTTAGCACACATTAAATCAAGTATGCATTGTCTACACTAGACTTCTAGAACATTTTAGTTAGAATACATACTAACAACCAACAGTTAGTTTGTGCCAGGGCTTAGCAGTTCATAGACCTGGCACTCTGGGCTCGCTGCATCAGTTATGAACATGGATCGGCAACCTTTGGCACACGGCTCGCTAGGGTAAGCATCCTGGCGGGCCGGGCCGGTTTGTTTACCTGCTGTGTCCGCAGGTTCGGCTGATCACAGCTCCCACTGGCCGGGTTTCACCACTCCAGGCCAATGGGGGAGACGGGAAGCGGCGGCCAGCACACCCCTTGGCCTGCGCCGCTTCCAGCAGCCCCCATTCCCCTGGGATGGCGAACTGCGGCCAGTGGGAGCTGTGATCAGCCGAACCTGCGGACGCGGAAGGTAAACA